GCAGATTCTCTAGCCCTTAATCACGCCTTTTCGTTTGCTTTTTAGAACCCCTTTAAATGCAACATCGGAGAAGCCACTTTAAGTATCTCAGAAAGAAAGCGTTACAACTGTTCCTCACCTTTTGAAAACTGAAGACGACGAGCAAAATTTCGATCTGTACTCCTCTGCTACTTGAGCCGTGTAATGTGGATATGAGTGTCTACACTGTGCTACAAGAATGGCAGTTGTCACAGGGGTCAAATGATATTAGCTAATGTCTGTCATACGGGAACAATTGATTCACCACTTTGTTAAACCCCCGAGGGCTCAACATCATAATACACAACACGCAAAACTTTAGTGTAATTTCGATCGAGTTTTCTGGCGAGTTTTGAATTCCTCGTAACGTATAAGCTTGATTATTTTGTTGGTGTTTAGTCGGTGTGACAATTGTCGTGACTGAATCGATCTGTTGATCAGAGGTATTTGATAATTAAGTTTGAAGAGGTGATCAATGTAAACATAAGTAAGCGGCGATGAATTTTATCACGTTTCCAACAGGAATGTATGTTTATTCAGGATTACACACGAACTTAATGAAGCGTGGAGATCAAACGAAAGTCTAACTGGACAAATCTTGGCGAGAAAAAGTTTTAAACGTTGAGATTAAAGTCCCTTGTAAAGAGGGTATATGCTAAACACGTAGAGACAATATTTCAATTATCAAATTTGCAGGGTGTAAAATACATCGAGGTTGATATTACACCTCATGACGTTAGTTTGTCAACAAAGGGCAAAAGTCCTAGAAATGATAAAAATTGCAACCCCTTCGGTTTCAAGAGAGACTTCAATCTCGAAAATTAAGCGTAAGAGCTTCACAATCTGGATAGTTAATCTTCATTGTAATACGTCCAAAACTTCAAATGAGCAATTAACTTTTCATATAGGCAAGTGCAGGTTTCCAAATTAAGCTAACATGTCAACCCTCTTTACGCCAAATGTCAAAGTGATTACAAAACAATCGCAGACAAAAGAACTTTTAAAAAGGCTCCGTGCTCTGGGTGTTGAACCTGTCAATCATTCATGTTTCTTTGGAGCCCAATGTTCTCACGGCCATTTATCTCGTGGGGTTTGCCAAACCCTCGCCTGCACCCCTATTCGAAATCGTTTGATTTTTCCGTGTTTTTCTGTTTGTTTTTTTTCGGATTTTTGATTTTTTTCTCCTGGTTTCAAAGACTTGCATAAGATGATGCAGCCACATTTTCGTTTCATCAGCCGCATTTTTTAGAAAGTATTGGTGACCCTTCTTCTTAGTAATCCTAATAGGATTATCTAAAATAAACAACGAAAGATGTACGTCTTCGAAAACCGGAAAATAAGTTTCCTTTCGCAATGCCCTACCCCGAGGCTGACAGGTTACAGCAAATGCCCTACCCCGGAGATTGAAAATCTCGGGTTGTATTCCCTATAATGGCCTATGCGGGGAGGATCTGCCCGAAAGGGTACCTTTTCCAGGCTTCAGATATATCAAAGAGTAGGGATTTTACACGTTGAGGCACATGAAAGGGTAGGGAAATCTGTCATTTAGGTATTTAAAAAGGTCTTTCGTTAAAATATTTCGGGCAGGTGCACCTTGTGGCTGTATGATTTAATTTATTGAACCTACGTGAAAATGACAAGAAGACTTCCTTTTTTGGAGATTTATCCATAAGACGGGCTATGAGCAGTTACAATATTCGCAGGTAGATATGTGAGAGGGGCTGACATCCCGGAGGGGGTACTGTCAGAAATATTTGGTGGGGGTGTACGGCCTGCTTCCCAAAACCCTTACCTTATTCATGACCAAAATCTGCGATTTTCCCTACCCTATTTATGACCAGGCCCAAAATTTGACACCCTGTTTATGACAGTTGCGGCTGACACAGTTGCCCTAGACATAATTTTTCAAGGGCTTCTGCTTATGGTCTTATCAATAATCATGAAAAAGTAGCTTCTTCTAAACAACATACCCAATTCAAGAATAGAGTACAAAAACCATACCCTATTTAAGACCAAAATGGCCAAAATCGACACCCTATTCCAAAACGGCATACCCTTTGGGACCGCACATACTTATATAGTCCATTTAAGGGAGTACCCCCCCCCCTCCCGGGGCTGACAATTTCTCAATAAAAGGAATACGAAAGGGTTATCTTTTCTGTCAAAATGGAATATAACAGGGTAACCTGAAGGGGTTAGACCTTGGGGCGGAGCCTCCCCGAACAAAAATCTTCGTTGGGTGCCACCCTCCAGCTCCAGGCTGAAAAATAAGTACCTAAAGCGGCCGAGAAATGTCCGAGGGGGATAAGCGGGATTTCAAATGACGGAGCCATGATTTGGGTGATATACTCCATGGGCGAATGCCATACGTACAGAACGAGCCATACATACATCACCTGTTGTTGAACCAAATTAACTTTTAGTGCACTTTACTGGCTTGAAAGTTAATTACCGATGAACTATATACCACAAAAATGCGCCAGCGCGTGACATGACGCGTGAATTATGTGCTACGTGCGCTGCGTGAAACCGGGTTTGGTTCCCTCCTTGTGATCAATGCATGCCTTGCTCGTGTTTAAGATAAACGTTTAGAATTGTACAAACTGCTTTACAGACTCTTTCACAATCTCAAAACTAAAATTTCCCCATTGTCATATACACTAACTGTTTAGTAATCGATGAAAACTTTCAAAGCCGTGCAATCTTGAGTCACGTGAAGTAAGCGTTATAAATACGCGGAGACCATTTGTCGAATAAACATAATAGCATTACAGCTAGAGTAACTTTCATTTTCAGTTTATTATCAAGATAATGCTATCATTATAGCTAGCCTATCAACAGCCATCGCTCGAGCGCCTTCTGAGTATACCAAAGTCAGACTCAGCTCAGACGTGGACGTGGACGTGAGTGCGAGCAGTTACGTAGTCCCGTGTGTCACTCGGCAAGGCCCTAGAAGGTCAGGCCTCCAGGATTAAGACTGAGAAAAGCAACATGAGAATAACAGATAATCAATATGAGAGGTCAAAATGCAGCATTTGAAACACATTCATGCAAGTACTCTTTTGTGTGTGCGACATGCGTGTAGTGATCAGCTTCTGAGTGCAGACAAGTGGCGTGAGTGATGATCGCTGGCACGACTCCCGGATTGGAGGACGTCGAAAGTGTGCAGTTTCAGTATTTATCGTCTTACGTGGAGTACAAATACTGTTTGCAGTTTTGTCTCCGGATCAGTTACATCATACGCGCGTTATCATCACTGCAGTCATCTTTGGAGGACAAACAAACTGTCCCCCATACCTCACTAAATTAGCTATAGATACGTCGCGAGTTATGTCATTTTTTCCTTAGAATCTTGGCTATAAGACCCCAGTTTATAAGTTTATAAGTCTCCACCCCCACCCCTTCCAAGCTAGCATACTAGCCCAAACTGCATATTCCTGGACTTATGGAACTGGCGGCGTTACTTCCCCACCTAGTCAAGCGTTTTGTTCTCGCAAAGTCGACGATATGAAAATTCACAGGAATGTCGGGTTCCCCCCTCCCCACTCTCCTCCAGCTTCTTAAGAAATCGTAAAATCAGAAGCGCCCGCATTTTTCATTTGCACCTTTTTCACAAATACAGTTAGCCGTACGTGTAAAATGATGACATTATTGCGATTATGATAAGCCCGTTCCTTCAATTTTTTTTCGTTAATATAGTGTGGGACAATATATTTCCCGGTATCTCGTCAAATACCATTAAGAAAATGTTTATAACTGTTTACAAACATCTCTAAACAGGCCAGTTTCCCCCTACTTTGGAAAAGACCACCTGGGGAACAAGATTTTTATTAATTTAGAGCAAAGTTTTGACGATACTATCGGTTTATATTCATTTCTAATACTAACAAACTGTCCGGCAAAGAACAAATTAGCGAGTACAATCTATTCAGAATTCCCTTCATCGAAGCAAATTAGGGGATTGTGGGTTGTATATGTGTTTACAAAGGCCACATAGCGGATTAGGTTTTGAAGGAAGATATCTGTAATCCCATGGGGAGCCAAGCCGTGCCAAGTTGAAAGATAAATTAATGGAAGCTTCTCAAATTCTAAAAAGGCTTTAGTTGAGAAGGCTAGAAGATCCATTTTCGCATCCAAACGTTATCTTGATTNTGGATCATGTAGCATCTCTCGCAAGACGGTCTCGTAAGGTCTCACATGAATAGCTCGATATACAGAAACAATACCCCTAGCCTTAAAAAAATAATAACAGTCGCTAAAATGATAAAACAGTAGCAGCTTACGAGAGCTGCTACACTTTTAAAATTTCTACCTAACTGGACGCAAAACCCACAATTCTCTACGGGATAACGCTCAAAACACCCCGGGGGTACTCCCTTATATGGGCTATATAGGTGTGTGTGGCCCCAAAGGGTTGGGGTTTTCAGCCGTTTTGGTCATAAATAGGGTATCGATTTGGCCATTTTGGTCTTTAATAGGGTATGGTTTTTGCACTAGTCTTTCATCATTATCAATAAGACCGTGAACAAAAGCCCTTCATAACTTATGTTTAGCCAAGAGAAAATGAGGGTCGAAAATGAGGGTCCCTCATTTTCTCTTGGTCTAGGGTAACTTTGCCAGCCGCAACGGTCAAAAGTAGGGTATCGAATTTTTGGTCTGCTCATAAATAGGTTAGGGGAAATCGCAGATTTTGGTGATAAATAGGGTAAAGGTTTTGGGAAGTGGACCGCACACCCCCACCCAACTTTTCAGGGAGTAGCCCCCTAAATGCTAAGATGCAATCGTTGATAAGTTACATTACGTTTTGCACTTGCCCGCCGACGCAACCTAATATTTGTCGTATTTCCGGCTGAACCGCTGTCGTTTGTCTCCGGCTAGCTTGTCTCCGTCTGCGTTCGCGGCTGCGCGCGGGGAAGAGCGCGGACCAAGCGTGGGCCCACTTCCGTTTCGCGAGTTTTTACGAGCATCTACCGAAGGATTTCCGACATGGTTCGACGATGTTCGGATATATCCGGCCACGGCAGTACAGCGCCTGAATGGTTTGTTCATCTTCCTGAAGTTGTATTTGTTTTGGTTTTTTTCTTCTGTGGAACATGGGGGATCAACCAAAGGTTTTAAGGAGACGAAAGAAGAAAGAAGTGAGTACATTTTAGTTTCCATATTGTATATTTATAGCGGGATGCTTTCCTTTAGAACCGACATTTTACGGCCCCTGGTTAATTAGGCTTATGTCGACTGATGTAAGATGAATGTTCGTTTGCTGTTCTTTGGTTTCGTAAAGGCGCATGTCGGAATTTTTCTCAATTTACCGAATTGTTTTTGATGTTGAATGAGTGAATGTAATTATTTCTTGATGCTTTAGCCACGAGAAGACAGTCAAGAACCCACAAAAGAAGAGAACGAAGTTGGAAAGTACCTGAAATGGAACTGTCCTTCAAAGAACTCAACGATGATGAGCGAAAAAGTGGAATATTTCATCGGTAAATATCGATTTAAGTTAAATTATTCCTTTCGTTTTAACACTCCTTTTAAGCTTTTTCAACTAGCTTTCAACTGGCATTTTTGAATTCGTTGACTCTGACTGCAAAAGCATCCAAATATTTGATGATGATTAAACGCGTGACTTACAACGAAGTGCAAAATTCTGCCGGCTGAAAGAATACGGTGTTTTATTCTCTTATGTCTTATCTAGTGGGAACAAAACCTTAATTTCATCCTGGCAGAGCGTATGACTCAATCCTTTATCATTTTACAACTTAAATTTAAGAATTCAGTTTTGCTTGAAGCTTACAGAAAGTTCAGTGACTGTGTAGTGACTGTGTAGCTATGAAGAATTACGTGTCCTTTTCTTCCTTGACTCGATTAAAGGAAAGAAAAAATTGGTTAGATGCCACAAAGTAAGTGGCAAAGCCTTAACCATGTGTTGTAGGTTGAAAGTCCGAAGACTTTTCTCGTCCTTATCGAGGGAGATGCTAACCTTCTCTCGGCTCATACAACACGGTTATGTAATTGTTGATGTCGACTTTATATTACGCTCTCTGAAGCAAATCTCATCCTTGTGGGACATCTTTTGGGTGAATATTTAAGCAACCCCATTGTCTCTCCCATATTTTTAATCAGCCATGTTTATTAGGTTTCTTGTCTTAATTTTATTGTAATATTCCGGCATTTAAATTGTCTAAAGGCTGAAAACTAGTTTGTTTCCAATTTTAATTAACAGGGCTTTTTAAGAGACAGACTTAAAGTTGATTCATATGCAAACTAAAATCTCAGTCACAAGCCAAATGAAGTAAATTCCCAGCTGAAATTGAATTCATCTACCTTACTTACTTAAACTCGCCTTGTGACAGTGAAACATGTTATTTAGTTGTCTACATGGGGTAAAATATTGCAAGAATAACTTTCCAATAAGTACATAAGAATCTCATTTTGTTGAATGAAAGTAAACAGAGTTTGCTTACTGCTAAATTTGTAAAGGAAAAAAACATACTGATAAATGGAGTTTTTAACACAAGTGACCATTGAGCCCTGGCCAAATGTACTCGAAAGTAGATGGAAGTTGAAAACTTGGGTCCTCTTGGGAGTTTGTTTGACCAGGCCTTTTGTGTGCTTGCACTGACTTGCGATGACTTGCACTCACTTTTGTCAAGATCAAATTTGCACACAAGTCAATGCAAGTTTTTAATTGTTTGGCCACCCAACCCAAGTCAATGCAAGCTGAGTGACGTCCATTAACCATTATTAGCCAATGAAATAGAGAATATTTCTGCCTTGAAATGGGTTTTGTTGTAACTTGTGAGTACTTGCAAAAAAACTTGCGAGTCCGTTTGGCCACCTAACACAAGTCTTTACGCAAGTTCGACTTGTGGCCACTTTTCGACTATTTGCAAGTCCAAGCCACAGTACTGCAGATTTCCTCAACAAACTAGGTAAAGTACAATAAAACGAGCGGTTCTGAATGGAAAGTGTGAAGTCAAGCTTCACTTAATTGCAGCAATGAGGCTGATATCTATAATGCTGCATAATAATAAATAGGTGAACAACATAAAGATCGTGTTCATGAAAAATGGTGACTTGGATAGAAGCATTCTCTAAAAGTACATTTGTGCTATCCAATTGGTGTTGTTGATTTGTTGAGAACACAAAAGTCAGCAGAAAAGTTTATATAAGGAACACTAAAACAATTCCTCTAGAAGAGAATGCAAATTTTAATAAGCAATACATTTGGTTGAACTAGCGATATTTCCATACCNAAACATATCTGGATAGGTAAGCCAAACTATTTGACATAAATGCACATGCTCTCTTAAATGACACTGTCACAACTCAGACATTTAGTCCACAAGCAAATATTTACTATTAGGATTTTCATCCAATGCCAAACAAGCAGTTCTCTTCAAAGAATTTGTTTGTTTGTTTTTGGTAAAGGTTCTACATGTACATGCACTTAAAACTACTTTAGCCCTCAATTTTCATCCTTTTTCCCTGTGTCATGAAATAAATAACAAGAATCAGTGTGACCATGAATGTTCACAGAGAGTTAATTTTGATTAAAATATTCAAAAGATGGCAAGATATAAAGTAATGCTGAGAGTTAGTGACTAATAACATTCAGTTCTTTAACAATGTAGTGCCATCTGAATTTCGTAACAGTTTCTGCTATCTTGCATTCATAACATTAATTCAATCTGTGCAGTTATGAATTCTGTGTAGGTGAAATTTGAGTTAAAAGGCATTTCCCATGTGTAATGTTCTAAAACAGAGAGTAGGTGTAAAAACTTGGAAAAACCCAGACTAAAAAGAAAACATAATAATGGCGGGGGGGGGNGTGGTGGTGAGGAGTTATTTTTCAGCAGGGTTGTAGCTAAGAAAATAGTCTCTTGGCTAAATTTTTCATTGGGCTGGTCACCATTTTTCATGAGAGACCTGGAGCAAAATTTTTGTCCCCAATCTTTCGTAGCACCTTTAATGCAGGGCTACCAAGCTTTGTGTTTACAAGATGGTGGACGCAGTACATGGAGAGAGAACACACAAAGCAAGTGCTGAAAACAAGATTTTATTTCAATTACTTTACTCATTATAGTGCTATCAATACTCAAGGTAGTCAGGAATTTATTCTAAACTTTTCATTTAGATGTTTTGTTATGTTCAGATATCGCATGGTTGTACATGCATGACCTAAAGACGGTTCATTGTCCTTAACCGAGTGATCGCCTGCCAAAATCCAGGTGGCAATTACCTCTTTCTCAGCAGGTGCTTTGCAACAACCCTGTTTGCATTCGCCTAAAAGTTAGGCAAAAAATCCACTTGACTGCGCAAACATTGAAATGCTCATGGAGTAGTAACTTAGTCACAGTGACAAAAAGTGTTGTTGTCTTTTCAGGTTACTGCTTTTGGGATTCTTCAGTCGTGTTGTGCGAATCAAAAAAGTAGTTAAGACCAAGGAAGAGAAAGAAAAAGAGAAAGAGGAAAAAAAGAAAGAAAAAGAGAAGGAAAGTGAGAAAGGAGATGTGAAAGAGAAAGATGAATCAGAAAGCAAGAAGCCAAAGAAGAAACCAAAGAAAGAGAAAACAGAAGAAGGAAAAAAGGCAGGTTAACCAACTAATAATTCATCTGCACATAGCTTGACTGTTAACGTATTCCCTGATTGCATCCTTTGGTTTTAATGTAGAGTGCCATTGATAAAGTGTAAAGGCCTCAAGAAAAGCTTGGTCAGTCATCCAGGGTAATAAGATGTCCCAGGCCGACAAGCAGCTGTCTCTGCTCACTTGCCGAGACAAGCCACTGGCTAATCAAATAGTAAATATTAAGAATGTTTTCAAAGCAACCAAGAAATATCTAAGTCACATGGGTAATCAGGGGATTTAGATTGAACTTATGAAAATTACAAACTACAAGGTAGATTATGTGAAAAGCAGAATTTATATTGAAATTTTAATGAGTGCTTTCAATTGGCAGTTTTTATATACAATCATTTAACATATTTAAACTATGTTTATTGCCAGTAATGAACTGCCATTGAATTAAGTTTTTAAACATTAGTAATTAACACACATTGTTGTGTTTTATTTGTCATGACAGCTTGCTCAAGTGAATAAGAGAAAAAGGCTCAGAAATCTTTTTTTTGTCAGCCAAATTCCAATCATGTGGATAAATTTTTAGTTTGCCAATGAAAACTATTAGATCCATAGAAAATAAAACCTATGCATTTGAAGAGAACCTATGCATTACCCTATGCATTTGAAGAGAACACAATTTTTTTTGATTTTATTTATTTATTTGTTTTGTTTTTTGTGGTTAAATTGAAGCCAATTTTCCATCTGAGCTGAGCACTGGTTATCAAACACATGATCAAAATTTACCAGGATCAAGTTTCTTTCTTTGCCAAACTATTATTTTATTCTTTTTTCACAAATGAGGTTTTGCAGGTGAAGTATTTGAGAGTGGGATCTACAGAAACGTGTTTATAAGACAGACAAATGAAATCACATTGATTGTGCAAGTTTGGCTTGTGCTGCAACAAGATAGGCTGTGGCCATAGCAACTGTTGAGAGTGCAGTGTTCAGCATCCCTTCTAAATGAATTTTACCCTTCCAATACAATTGTCAAAGAAATTGACAACTTACCAACACATTGCAAATAAATTGTGAACATATTGCTGACAATTCCTTGGTTGTTGGCACTTAGTCTAAAAGGTAAAAAAAAAACACACTACAATCTGGCGACTGACTGTTGACCACCAACAACATTCTACTGTCAAAAAGCCAAGAAATGGCTGATGGTAAGAGTAGGCAATCACATATCAGAAACAAGAAACACTAGTTTCCTTTTTTTCCCTTCATGAATTAGTTGGAGAGCATAGGCAAGCAGGAGAAGCTCAGGGTAATAGGCATACTGGCTGAGGAGAGGGTGGGATGCAGTCCCCCCTGTTTTGGAAAACTGTGTTAGTAATTTTTTGGGCAAGATGCTCATGATTTAGGCAACAGTGCTCTATTTCTGGCAGTAGGCGTGCACAAGAATTGTGAAGTGCAATTTTGGTGCATAAAGTATCCTGATTTCAACACATGCATTTGAGCATTGTGTATTTTTTTGGGGTGCAAGAAGGTCACCATCTCCCAAAGTCTGAAGGTGCCAGTTTGCCGTTGCTTTGGGCAGTTGGATGCCATAAAGGCAAGCTGGAATACAACTAATTGTTTTTTTCAAGCCCTGATCTATAGATTCACTGCATGCAATGTTTGTGTTATGTTTCTGAAGTGACTCAGTTTGTGTTGGAAGGTGCAAGTTTTGTGCCATTATAACAGGCTAACCAACAAACTAACCCATGCTGTTTGTAATTAATTTTCAAGGATGATGGTGATAGTGGAGAGAGCAAACAAAAAGTATGACAATAGTTTCAGTACTTTTGTAAAAACAGATTCTATCCCATTACATATTTGTTCTATCCAACCCATCGTGAACATTTAACTGTGCTATTGTGGACTACGGGTAGTCCCTCTATCACTTAGTTGGTTGTGCATGATGAGAAAGAAAACCGTGTTCCTCACCCTCAGGATTTGGCATGGCAATTTTTCCTCGCTGTTTATTTATGGTCTCTCTCGACAGACTAAGTGGTAGAAGGACTTCTTATAGTCTAGTGCTACTGTTGGAAGAGATTTGTGGATTTAGCTTTGAAAGTTTGTTTTTTTGTTGACATTGTTTATAAATGGTTTAGTCAAGTGAAGCAAATGGAGATGGCGATGGGAAAAAGAAGAGAAAGGTTAGTTGCAACTCTTGATGACAGATCAACATGTTTTTAACCAATGCAAAAGTTGTCTTACACTGTCCCCTTCTCTAATTTCCTCCCTGTAGAGATTGGAATAAATATTTAAAAAAAACAAGTCTCTCTTACTCTTCCCTGAGAAAAAAACGTGTATTGAGCCCAGCTTCAGCTCAATCTCCCTGACCTGATTCAGGAAAGGAGGGTATTAATTAGGATCATATTGGGTTTAAACAGGTTTTTTTGGTGCTTCCAAATTTGAACAACTTCATTATCTTGGTAATATTTGTCCTGTAATAAGCAACATCACTTGTAAATATGGATTTAATTCTTCTGACGTGATCTCCCTCTCTTAGTTTTGTGGTCCCAATCTTAATCTCTTATGTTTGCTATGATATACATGTCCTTTAATATCAACTTGGGGCATTTTGTGTTACATCAAGCTTTAGGGTGCATTTCAAGAGTCCACTCTGGGTAATGATTCTTTGGTTCCTATGATGCATCATGACCAAAGTGATCTTGACTTAATCAGTTTCGTAAAGAAACGCAAAATTTGTTTTTGGGTTTAAGAATCTTGGATCCAATCTTGGATTTTTCCAAAGAAATTTGCACTGCTAGACTTTCTTTGTTTTGTTAGCTTCGTAGTGGAGTGATATTGCTAATCCAACAGTCAAAACACATGGTTAGCAACTATCATTCCTTTTGTGACATTGTAGTGAAGTTTATATTGTTTAAATTTTATGGCTTACATAAGTAATTTTTGTTTGTTAGGTGAAAGTGAAGCTGGAATTGCACGATGATCAGATATTTGTGGATGCTGATGAGGAGGTCAGTAGCATTTTGCAGCAGTATATTCACCGCTGCCAATACAGGCTGTACCCCGTAACAGCTGCTATGGCTGAGTATGTTGGATGGGCCCTTGATGTTACAAGGGGGCTTGCCTGTAGTTGATACAATACATCAAGAAAGAAACATGTTTGCTATGGGTGTGAATATCAAGGCTACTGGTTAATCAAAACTTAATGACAGCCCAGATAATTACTTATTCAGTGACACAACTGTTCAAAATGTCACACATTTTGTGCTTCACTTCAATGTTGTTGCAGTACTGTCATCAAATAACATTTTCATACCATGTCATCCCATACGTACAGCATTTCAGCCTGGTTTTATTTTTAATGTGGCATTAATGTTGTTTGCATAAATTATATATTGTCAATGCCAGTTTTGCCCTTTCTCAGGCTTATGTCTGGAGATTTGACCCAGTTCATCCAAAGACCTTTGTTCTTGGGGTTTTGGTTGGTAAGTACATCAGTCCATTTGACAATCAGTAGTTGTAGCTGTTGTTGTTGTTTTTTTTAGTCGATCACTTGGTTGGTTAGTTAACTGACCAGTCAGTTATTCAGTCTATCAGTCTCTGTCTCTCCCTCTATCCATTGGTCTATATGTTTGTCAACTAGCAGTTGGTTAGTTGTTTGGTTGGTTGGTCAATGAATTAGGTGATTGGTCAGTTAGCCAGTCATTCAGAAAGTCAGGCCATCTCTTTGTCCATCAGACAGTCCGTGATGCCAGCCAGACAGTCAGTCAATCACTCCATTAGTCAATCAATCACTCAACCTGAAGACAACCAACCTATAACTAACGTACTGTTTTATAGTTCTTGTTTTCTCAGTACCGGTACTAGTTTTACTGCACATTTGTGGTTGGGCGGTATATTGACTGTTTTCTCTCCGTTTTTTGTCCAACAGTGATAGCCACAATTGCGATCTGCCTGTTCCCATTGTGGCCCAGTAATGTCAGGGAGTATGTGTGGTATCTGAGTGTTCTGGCAGCTGTGGCAGTGGGTGCCATACTTGTGCTTGCCCTATGTACGTTTGAAATTACTATTTCTTATGGACATGTCTTTTGAAATTGTTGTTCTTTTTGTATAAGGGCAATTTTAAAAAAAGTCAGTAGATAGGTCATCAAGACACAACTTTTCCTCACAGGTTCGCGTGTATTTCGTACGGTGAAAGTTAGGAGAATTTTGTTAAATTTCAGGAGAGTACTTATTCGCCAACATGACTTAGATAGGGACCATAAAAGGGGGATCCGAGGCTTCCCTAAGGTTTTTCCCCAAGGTTTGAGCCCTTGTTATTTTCCCCGTGGAGAATTATACACTACCTGCTGTTTATTTGGTGCTAAAGCTGGTTTTTTTTCGGTCATCCTTTGCAGTGCGTTACGTTTTCTTTGCAATCGTTTGGGTATTAACAGCAGGACGACATCACTTCTGGCTTTTACCGAACCTGACGGAAGAATGCGGCTTCTTTGAATCGTTTGTTCCGCTTTACACGCACGAATTTAAAGGAAGCAAGCCTGAAGAAAAACCCGAGGAACAGAACGAAAATGAACTGGGAAAAGAAGATGAAAACGAAGGGGACAAGGAAGAAGAGGAAGGAACGGTACAAGGCAACAAGGAAGAGAGTGGCGAGGAAAAAGATCATACGGACAAAGAACCTTGGGTAACATTAACAGAGGAAGAAGTGGCAACAGCGAGAAGTGAAGTGGATAAAGACCTTGAAGATTCAAATGACACTTTAACTTCTGAAGTGAAGTGTTGATCGAATATTGCATTTTATTGTGTTCATATTAGGGCCAGTAACTTGAAATTATAGATCATGTTACTGACATAAATAGTCAAAAGTCTAAATTTGTAGATTTACGGCGACTTTCGTGACAGAGTTGTTAGTGATTTGGTAATGTGCAAGAGTTAGGGTTCGCTGCTGTCAATTAAAAACACTCACGTGATTGATGGGAGCTAAAATTAATTTCCAAGGAAATTTGAAGAAAGATCACAGGCGTTGTGAGACCTCCACACAGTTGCTGTTCTTTTGTCGGGTTTGTGTTAACAATTGCCTTTCTTTTGCTTTGTCCCATTTTATCGAAAAAATACTCCAATATATTTCCGTGAAATAAGCAGAGAAATGTACCTACCCTTGGCTAATATCTAGAATTCATTGAAATTATTTATAAAGACTATGTGGTTGAATGATTAATGGTTTATGTGTCATTTACAGAAATACACGGATTCAAATGTCGACGCACGTTACCCAACAGTTACACTGATAAGATACGGTACACAAGATACACTGGTCTTTTAAAATGGTGCTATGATCAAATTTTTATCCCTTGATTTTTTAGGTGTATCACAGGAAAAGAAAGATGCGATTTTCGTCATAGTACCACTTTAAAGAGTAAGAAACTTGGCCACCCAAAACCCCTTCCTTCCCAACTGCTAACGCAGATTAGTGTAAATCTACTGGCGCTCTATACCGAATGCCGTTCTCTGATTGGCTACACTACTCACTATCTATTGTGTATGTAGTGAGTAGCCCAGCAGTGTTCGGTAGTTAACAAACTGGCGGCCTCTTTGCGTTTTTGAAGTGTCTGTGAAGAGGAATTAGATAAAGTTTTTAACGACTAGTAGATTTGACACTAAGGAATTGCAGCAGTGGGTGCTGGAGCAGATGCTATTTGATGTGTCGGAGAAACTGCCGTTTGTAAGGTTAGTTCCGACTGAAATAGTCACCAAGATGAAGTCGAATTGTAGTTTCAAAGAGTCTGTAGTCGTTAGAGATGTTTCCTTCAGAGCTACGAAAAAGCACAGAACGACACTGTGACGTAAGATATTTCGTCATTTTGCGTTTATTCGGCTTAAAATATCACGAATATGACATTGCACTTTTCGTTCTTTCCTTTTCAGTGATCTGTGTTTAGCAGTAAATGACCTCATGGAACAAATAAGTCAAAGAGATCATCGCTCTGGAATTTCCGGCCAGTATGGAGCACTGGAGCTCGTTAAAACATTGAATATCACTGTTTTAGAAGATGGCAACCGTTCCACCCTACACTCAAAAAAATATTGTGTGAGAGCGAATATTTTTCAGTGCGCATTTGAGGTTTTTCATCTGCCGTTACGGCTGTTTCCAGATGTTCGGAACCGTTAGGGTCCTAATCTTTAAGATGATCGTAAATCAGATTGAAATTGTACTCAAGATTAACCTTCAAGCCCTCACTATTGAGTTAAAGTTTTGAGGCGAACCCTTGTAAAATGTTTTGCGAACTAAAATCAACTTCTTCACGTTGAATGCGCGGCAAAACGAGCTAAAACTAAGCCTTTTCTATTTAGCTGCCTCTTCCACGCAAAACTTGATGTGTTCAGTTGCGTTTTCTACTACATACTCCGTCTGTTTACAGGGTGGGAATGGTAATCAATCAATCAATAACTAGCTGATAAGTAGGTTGTTGATTATAACGGGGGGGGGGGG